TAGGTAGTTGAGGCTGGCCTGGAGCTCACTGTGTAGCCCAGGCTGATCTTGAACTCGTGGCGATACTCCTGCCTCAGCCTCCTTAGTGCTGGGATTCAGGCTACCACCCTGGCTAGAAAAACATGTTGAAGTAGTTTTTTAGTGGGTCCCCTTTCCAGAGGTGATCAGTTAATTGTGTTGGGGCTTCCCCTGTCCCCACTGATGGGTGCAAAATCTTCTCAGTTTACCCACGGGACGCCTGAGGCAGGGAGCAAGGGCCAGTCTACGGAGGCGTGCAGGTGCAGGGCTTGTTGTCAGGCCCAGAGGTCCACAGAAGGTTTGGAGCCAGGAAGTGACGTAGAGTCACTAAAGGAAGTTGGAGTAGCAAGGAGCACCATTCCTTCCACCTGCATGTGTGTGCCTGCACGCAGGACTCCTTCCCTCCCTCAGCTGAGCTGAAGTGTCCCTGTCAGTGTCCCAGCTCAGGCCCTCCTCGACTGGGGGTGCCTGCCCCCCTGTACCCATTGCCTTACTATCCACATCTTGGTCCTTAGCATGATCTGTTGGTGTTTTGTCAGTACTGGCTGTCTTGTGTCCCTCGTCTGCATGACAGACTTCTTGTTTGTTATTTATAGAGCTCACTATGTAGTCCAGGCCATTGAACTGGTTGTGTAGCTGAGGCTGTCTTGAATCACCATCCTCCTGCCTCAGCCTCTCAAGTGCTGGGATCCCAGGTGTGTGCCACCATGCCTGGTTCACACTGCGTACTTTCTGAAGGCAGGGACCTCTTCTTCCCCTGTCTCCCCAGCAGCTTGGTACCTAGGAGCTGAAAACCAATGGCCACGAAACGTGTGGAGTGAGTAAACAGGGCCTCCACGAGCAGGTGGTGTGTGGTGCCCCAAGACCCCTGCTTCGCTCCACTCTGCTTGGCCTGTCCAAGGCTGGCCACTCACTTCAAGTGCTGCCCTACTTCCTTCCGTTAGGGCCTAAGGCCCGCTTCTGCTGGGCCTGTCTAACCCTGGCCTGCACCTTGGTGGCTTGGCCGTTCCTGTCCGCTTCCTCCCTGAGGACTCTGGAGCGCATACAGCTTCCTGCGATCCCCCGCCGTGTCTTCGGTCTCACACTGGCCTGTCTAGCCCCACTGTCACCCCGGCAGTCTGGGCAGACCCTGTCTCCAGTCCTGCTGGCTCTCGGGGCTGATCTTTTCTTGATCTCTTCTGACTGGTAGGGAGAGTCCTGGCTCTTCTTTTCCCTCCTGACTCTGGACGCGACGCTGGTCATTCTCGTCCTGCTGATGGACTCTCAGACCATCGCGTGAGTTGTCCCTTTCTCCAAACGCGCTTCCTCTCCCGTGCTCTAGGACAGGGGTGGCCACAGCCCACTGAGACCTCAGGGTCTTGTGGGGACCCCATTTTTGTAGCCTTACCCCGGGGCTGCGGTGGACGTGCCATCAGTTCCCTGTGCCCCACAGTGTACCCTCAAACCTCAGAGGCACCCCTGTCTCCTGGGCTCTGGGAGGCTGTGCGATTCTGGCGAGGTCTACCACTGAGGGCGCACCTGCCCCCCGGGAGGGCTGGCGGGTCCCCAACAGTCTTAGAGGAGGACTCAGTGTTAGGGCTGTTGCTGCAGCCACTAGGGCCTTCCTGGGGCTTCCTCTCGTTCCCAGCTGGGCTGGCGCCCCTCCTGATTGGCTCAGATCTGTGTGCTATCAGAAAGTAAGCAAGACAGCGACAGTAAAATTAACAGAACAAACCGAAACCCTGAAAGAGCAAACTTGGAAGTGGGACTCACGTCTTACGAATAATTTAATTTAATTGTGATCCCTTTGGTTAAGCTTAAGGTTACTGTCAGTTATCTCTTTAAAGGACAAAAAGCTTATTGAAAGAAAAAAATAGAAGGCGGAATCAGGTAACACTTCGGGGAATCGGGGCATACTTTACTCTTATTAAAGTCACTTAAGGTTATAATTAAAAGGAACATCTTTGAATTAATTTTTATATATAAGTATTTACCTAAAATAACCCTATAGAAAGGCACGTTTCTTCACAAGTGAACTGACTCAGTGCCCCGGAACCCCAACAAGTAGATGCTGTGGTTCTCCCCATCTTATTGACGAGGAAACTAAGGCAGAAAGAGGCTGTCTTAGTTACTTCTTGTTGCTGAGACAAAACACCTTACAAGTGAAAAGAGGAAAGGTTTATTTGGCTCACATTTTGTGGTGGGTTCAGTTCATAATCAGCTGGCTCCAAGGCAGCGTGGCATCGCAGAGCAGAAACAGTCCATAGCAAAGCAAGACAGGCAGAAGACAGCAAGCAGCAAGTGCCGAGGGACAGGAGACCAGAGGCCCTCCTTCTGTTCCCTCTATCTTAAACAGGCTACTCACCCTTAGGGTGGATGGTACTCACACTCAGGGTGGGGGGCCCTTAATCCTACTCAGAATTAGGCCAGAACAGCCAGTGGACTAATTCAGTAGTCACATATCCTCCGTTCCAGCATCATACACTCTAGACCCAGCCTGAAAAGCCCATCTGTTACTGCATGGAGCTTTGGGAGGACAGCTAAACATAAGCCATAACAGGCCCAAACCACTTTTCCAGGTGTGCATGGCTGATGGGTGGGAGCACCAGGAAATGTGCCATCCATACCAGCTGTGGAATCCTCACTCCCAAGTGGCATTCTTAGGTCTGGGGTTGCTAGTGTCTGGGGACACTTGGTCTCAGCATGATCTGTGGGGACTGGTGTATTGACACCCAGTGGGGAGAGGACTGAATCTCAGAGCTCCTTTGGAAAGGGCTTTTTTGGGGTTGGGGGGTTGTTCCTCACACATACTGACATTTGCACACCTCCAGCAGGCCAGGCAGAGGGCTGTGCTGCTGTCCGAGGGTCCAGCCTGCTGTGAGAGCCCAGCTGTGTGCTCGTAGGGAGCACCGGTAGATGTGTGTGGAGCTGGCCTGCAAGCCCAGTTGGTGCACACCCACAGGATGAAGTCTCCTGTGGAGCACCTCTTTCTTGGAGGAAACATATGGCCCGGCAGAGCAAGGAGCAGGGAAGTCGGATGTCGCTGCCAGAGTTTGGTTTGTCTCCTTGCTGTTCCCTTCCATGCGCACGTGTAAGCAGGAGAGGGGTTCCTGATACTCCCACTGCGTCCTCAGGAGCTGGTCAGCCTGTGAGGGCGTCAGAGCTTCTTCCTGCAAGTGGGATCTGGTGATGGTTGACGTACAAAGTAGGAGCTTTTCTCTGCTGCTGCTACCTTTGGCTCATACCAGGACTTAATAGTGCTCTAAGCACTGCCAGAGGTATCCTGTGTCACAGCTCTACAGCATCTCTGAGGGGCAGGCGTTGCTTGAGATTGGCCGGCAGAACACAGTTACCTGTAGCTGGGAGCTCTGTTATCTACCTGTGGGTCCAGTGTCCCTGGACTGTATCAGTGACTCAGCCGCCGGGAGTTGCAAAGACAGATCAGAGCTGGCAGTTCTTAAAAAGAGAGACCTTGGCCTGGCAGTGTAGTTCAGCGCTTGCTTAGTATGTACAAGGCCCTGGGTTTCATTCGCAGTACAGTGCCAAAAAAAAAGATCTGAGAAGGAGTATCCATATTTTGTCATTTAGGTGTCAGTAGTTAAATAGTACTGTTTTCTATTTTGACAAGAGCATGCGAGCTTCTGGGAAATCCAGTCCCGCCTTTGAATGCCTCCTGCTGCACTGGGCCGGTTCCCTGAGGAAGTAATTGTGTTTTCCGGGATGCCTCCTCACCTGGTGACAGGTGTTCCTAGCTGTTGGCCCACTGCTTTAGTTGTAACTGTGTCATGTCCTGAGATTAAATGCTAAGTTTGGCACAGATGTGAAGCTGGTGTGTATAACTGATTCGTTCAAAATCATGTGTGCACTTTTAAGGATTCTTGCTGCGTCAGCTGCTGTGTGAAACCCTTCCTGTGCAGGTCCTTTAGATCAGGGTTGTTTCCATTCTGCAGATGAGGACATGGAGGCTAAGAAGTTGAGTCACTTGACCAAACTTGCACAGCTGTGCAAACTCTGGGGTTGCCTCCCTGCGTTCTTAAGGACCTCTTGTGCTTAGTGAGACACTTTGCTATTATCTGTGGATAGGCGGAACGTACTGGGAAGGCTACCACTGTATCTGCATTACAATTAACATTAGCATTATAAATTAGACATTTGAGATTTTGTTGGTATATCTGGGAATGAAACTAAAACAAATACAGAGCACCTCTCAGCATATTTTGAGTGATTCCCGGAGTTTTCTGGAGCCAGTCACACAGCCAGGGCCCAGTACTTTTCCTCTACTTGGCCCGACTGGCACAGCCTCAGCCCATTCTGGAGGGGTTGCGCCCCCTGCTGGTCTTGTGACTTTGCACTCAGCAGCGTTTATGTTCTGCATATTTCTTCTCAGAGAGTCTGTTTTTACTGCTCTTAAGAGATTATTATCTGGGAGAGAAGAAAATTAATAGATTTGATTACTTCTTAGAGATGTTAACTTGTATTTATTGTATTGTGGATTTTTTTTTAACAGTCACACTGAGGAGAAGACTCAGTGGGAACATCCGAAGACTGGAAAAAGGAAACGAGTAGCAGGAGGTTTGTATGTCATGGGCTTGGGGAAAGACTGTTGTTTGAAGCGTTAATGGGATCAGGAAGATGTCACAGGCGGGCGAGGAGGCAGGTCAGGCGTCATCCTGGGAAGGCTCCCTGGTGGGGACACAGCAAGGAACCTGACTCTTGCTCCGAGGAAACGGGAATTTGGCAGAAGGAAGCTATAAGATCTTGGGGTGGAGGAAGATGATTTCTTACTGGTCTTAAACAAAAACTATAAAAATAATTGGGGCCTTTGACTCACAGTTTATTAGGTTTCCCTGCAGTCGCACGCACTGTTTGTAATATTGCTCTTGGTTTATTTATACCATGGCATTAAGTATATCAGTATTTTATAGAAGTCCATAAAGAGCAGCATGACTTCTAGGTGCCTCTCAGCATTTAGTGTGCAGCCCATGGAATGCATATGTAAGAATGCAGAAAGCAAAAGTATAGGAAGATCTGCCCTTAAGGGGTTTAGAGTCTAGTGGAAGAGACAACAGGTACACATGAAAAATAATGACAGTGCTCTGCAGTGCGGCCCCACAGGTCAGTGGATGAGTGGTGCTGGGTGCCTACTGTGCCCTTGGATATGGTCTGTGAGCTCGTTCAGGGGAGAGTTTACACTGACTGAAGCAATGAGCAAGGTTCCCAGTGTAAGGAGGAGCCCAGCGGAAGATTTAAGAACTATCAAGAACAAGGCTGGGCATGAAGGCACATGCCTACAGTCTCAGCTCTCTAGAAGACTGAGGCAGGAGGACCCTAAATTTTAGCCGAACCTGAGCAACTTAGCTTAGACCTTGTCTCGGGTTCATTTCCCAGCACCACTCCCCCCTTGAGAAAAGAACGATAGAGTTTTCATTAAAGCAAGAGGCAGAAACGCATCCATGTGGAAGCAGAGGATCTACTGGGACTGTCACAGTTGGAATGGTGGCTGGAGTGAGCTGGAGAAGCGCAGCTGGTCGGGGGGGAGGGGCTGCGGGGGCGCCACTCACTCGTCACACACAGCCCTGTCTGTCCTTCTGTCTTTCAGATTTGCCGTACGGATGGGAGCAAGAAACGGATGAGAACGGACAGGTGTTTTTTGTTGAGTAAGTGTCGCATGGGAACTGTTCTTGGCCATTTTGCTGTTTGGTAGGAATTTGTAATTATAGAAGTAATACGTACGGACTGCATTCACCCGTGAGGGAGTGTGTCTAATCTCACCAGCAGGAGTAACTACTTTCAATGGAGTTTGCATTTGTTCTTCCAGTCTATTTTGTTCCTCACTCTGGCGCCCAGTCTATTTCCTCTGCACACATTTCCTTAACTTAGAAAATGTTCCATGTAAATGGTTTAATAAGTTTTTTTTCCACATAATATTTTCTGAGCCTTTTTTCATGTCATTCCTTGTTTTTAAGAAGGTGATATTTAATGGCTCTAGCATATTCTTTTGCCCAGATGTACCATAATTTATCATATTGCCTGTTGGCCTTTGGTGCTGTTAAATTTCTGTTATTGAGAATCAATATTGTAAATACTTTTCTGAACGTCATTGTCTGTAACACTTTTCCACATCTCTGGTTCTATCTTTAGAATAAATTCCAGCAACAAACTGCTGTCGTGACCACGGTCTAGCATACTGCAGGGGCCAGGCAGTCTCCTCCTCTTGCATTTGTACTTTAGTGTCTGTACCCCTAACTACTTCAGTTAAGCATGAGTGATTCTTGACTTTCAGTGTTTAACTCATAAAGTTGAGTATTTCACACAGTTAATATTGATTGGTGTTCGAAGTTGATTTAAGCAGGAATTTAAAAAATTTTTGTTTCGGGCTGGGGATTTAGCTCAGTGGTACAGTGCCTGCCTGGCAAGTGCGAGGTCATGAGTTTGATTCCTGGTACCGGGAAAAAAAGCAGAAAAAAATTTTTTTTTTGTTTTTGTGGGGTTGAACCCAAGGCCTTGTGCATGCAAGGCATGTAAGTGATCTGTTTCTGAGCTGTACACCTAGTTCATGTTATTATTATTTTTAATGTAAAACTATTTATGTAACATAAGTACTTTTTTTTTTAACATTTCCTTGAAGCATACCAAGGCCTGCTCTTCAAATGTGGACCTGCCACATGGATTTTGGCATGGTCTTCCTTCCCCAAGCAGAATTCTGCAATGGCAGCTACAGTTTCTCTTTTCACTTTCTTTATAGTTGAGCAAAAACTTAGCATTTTGAAGCATTTGAATGCTTTGTGTTTTCTGTCATTTTATGGCTTTTGTCTATCATTTTTACTGTACTTTTTTTTTTTTTGGTTTTTCTCCGGTACCGGGAACCGAACTCACAACGTTGCACTTGCCAGGCAGGCGCTTTGCCGCTGAGCTAAATCCCCAGCCCCTAGTGTACTTGATTGAACCAAACCTTTTTTTTTTTTTTTCGAGACAGAGTCTCACTATGTAGTCCTTGTTGGCTTTCAGCTCACTCTGTGTCCAAACTGGCCTCACACTGGTGATTCTCCTGCCTCAGTCTCCCCAGTGCTGGAGTTACAGGCATGCACCACTATGCCAGGCTTCAGTCAGAATGTTTTTTAGTTACTTGCCTTCAAGATTCTTTAAAGCATTTAGCCAGATGTTATAGACATGGTGACATTTTATTTTCATCTCACATGTTATGAGTTGGTGTAGTAATAGTCCATTAAATAATGTGTTTACCGTAGCAAGATCAAAATTTATACTTGCAGGTTTGTGTGTGGCAAGTAGGTCAAGATTTGGTTCATAGGCATGTCCGAGCCGCCATAGACAGCCCTGGAAAGGGACCCTGTCTGGCAAGCCAGGCAGACAGGACGTTTGTTGTTGCCTATTACTTTGTTAGAAAGCTTTTCCCTCCCACGTGTATAAAAGTCTTTCTCCTCAACAAATTAAGGCTGTTAGCCCTTTCATTATGTGTCGCAAGTGTGTTTTTCCCAAGGTTTTTAAAACTTTGTTGAGTTTTTAAACACCAGCTGTAGGAATGCTTAAATTTTGTGTAGCCAAGCCAGTCTTCTCCTGGGTCATCCCTGCCTTTGTACGCATTCTGGGACAGTTGTTCCCTGAAATGGTCATTGGCCCAGAGCATTGGTTCCCAGGTGTGGGACCTGTGGGTCTGATTAAAAAGAAGGTTGGATTCTTCCTGGGTCTTCATATTTGTACAGTGTTGAGTATAGATTTTGATATAATTTTATGCATAGCAAAAAAAATTTTAAAATCAAAATCTCATATATTGCATAGTTCTTAATAGTTTCTAAGACATTTTTATGATATTTTGTGGTCTTCCTTTGTCCCAAACCTGCCGTGGTAGATCACAGGATCTGCATTAGAAATACCACAGTCCAGCCTGGGAGGGCCTAGTAACCTGTGCTTCTTCAAGTCCTGGGGATTCTGTGCATGCTCGTTTGTGAGCTCCTGGTTTACTCTGGAGAGGGGAGTTTGACTTTTCCGTACTAGACCAGAGAATGTGTTGGCGGGCTTTGGATCATGTGGGGTGTCTTGTAGTTTTTCAGCTCTCCTATAAGCAGCTATAGACTACATAATAACAACTGGCATTGCTGAGCCCCAGTAATGCTGAATTTACAAAAACAAGCCGTGGGCCAGAGTTGACGCATGGGTTAGAGTTTGCTAACTGCTGATCTCATCCAGAAGAATGCGCAAGGGCTTTGGCAGTGGGATATCACGTGGTTCCCCTGGCTGGGCTTCTCAGTTCTCTGAGTATCGCTGGTGTGCTGATGGTAGAGGGGCACTACAGCCAGTTTCAAGCTGTGTGTACGGAGGTGAAGCACTGAGGTGCTGGGGAGAGACGTGCACACTTGGCTGTTGTGAGCCTGCCTGAGCCGGCTCCAGTGCAGCACTGCTCTGTCATCTGCTGATAGCCCTGGGTCGCAGTGCTTATCTGGCAGGCTGTGGGTCTGATTAAAAAAAAGGTTGGATTATTCCTGGGTCTTTGTGTTTGTACAGTGTTGAGTATAGGCTTTGGATATAATTTTATGCATAACAAAAAAAATTTAAAGTCAAAATCTCATATATTCTTGCATAGTTCTTAATAGTTTCTAAGATATTTTTATGATATTTTGAGGTCTTCCTTTGTCCCAAATCTCAAAATTATGCTTAAAATGCAAGAAATAAATTCTGTCGTAAGGAATAACCTAAACATCTCCATGTACCAGTACATCTTAATGTTGTTTCTATGAGTTTCAGATCAATTCCAAATCAAAAGTAGATTACGTACAGGAGGTTTAGGTATTGTCTTAAAATGGACATCATTAGAATTTTATTTGTTTGTCAGTTTCATATGTACTATTAGCACGTTCACAATGGAGTCATAATTTGTATGTTGAGCTGCTGGCTGGCTCTGACCAGCGAGTGGTACATGTGTGACGGTTCCATACTGCCTGATGGGACAGCCATGCATGTACCACCTGTGGTTCAAGTTGGTGGGAACGTGTTAAGACCTACCATTTGGAGTTTTCACTTATCTACTGGTCTTTTTAGGCCCTTGCATAGGATGAAGAGATATAATCACAAGCTACTGCAAAGAGTGGCTGACAGATCTTAGGCCACATTTACATGAATTAAGTAAAAGCCCAGGGCATTCTCTCGAAGACTTCTTTGAGATTCAACAATACAGGTGGTGGTTATTGCACATTATAGCACATTTTACAGGCAGCTCTGATGGAAAGGCTTTGATGAGTATCTTTCCAGGCAGGAATGTAATCCTTCTGGAGGCCAGAAGATAGATTAAATGGCCCAGGTTCTTTTCAGGTTTAAGAATAAGCCTCCTTGTAAATGAGTAATGAGGTTTGCCTAAACTGTAAGATTATCTTGTATTTATAACTGCTGCTGTTCACTGCTTTCTCCTTTCCTTTGCAGCCACATAAATAAAAGAACCACGTACTTGGACCCAAGATTGGCCTTTACTGTGGATGACAATCCGACCAAGCCACCCACCAGGCAGAGATACGACAGCAGCACCACGGCCATGGACATCCTGCAGGGTCGGGACTTCACGGGCAAAGTGGTCGTGGTCACTGGGGCTAATTCAGGAATAGGTAGGCTGCGAGCTTGCTGCTGTTCTATTTATTTAGTTTTTGAAATTCACTTAAATGTAATTATGATGAAACCTTTCTTATAGTGGTTCTCTAATTTGAAAGTATGTTTATGACCTTTTCAGCTATTATTTTATTAAAATCATGGCCTCACTTTAAAGCAGTGTCGTCATGGCAGGCAATGTAGGGGCGACCTTGAAATCAGAACTGAAAACTCAGCACAAGCCTGGCTACTTTGGTATTGAAGCATTAGACACCAGGCTCTGGCTAAGTGTTTTGACTTGGTTTGTGTGAGATATGGACATATTCCAATTACCTGGGTTATCCAAAGCAAGATTGATTGGTAATGGGATACGGGGAGCAACACATCATGACTTTGGAACCAAGGATACTGCAGGTTTCGACTGGTCACTGAGCGTATCATTTTGCACTGGGAACAGGATCTTATTTCTTCCTAAAACTGGAGGTTTCGTCCTTGTCTTAACCTCTGAATCAACCCTCCCACTGCCGGTGCCTAACCATGATGATCATCATGAGGAGTGGCTCAGGGTGGCCTCCTCCCTCAGCATCATGGGCTGCTGAAGCCAACCAGGTACCAGTGGCATCCATGTTTTTGGTAGGCGCTTACTTGTTCCGGTCCCTTTACATCAGTGTCAGAATCAGGAAGAACCAACTGCTCTGAGAAACCATACACATCTTTGGATTTGTTTACTGATTTAGAAAGTGGAGCTGCAGCTGGCAGGTCCTCTGTCTCACTCCTCCCCGCCCCCACAAGTCCCCCTCAGCGGCTTCTTTTCAGCTTTTCCTGCTCTCTCATTTCTCTGTCTTGACTCATTTTGAACCATTCCTCCTTGAGTCTCCACAAATATCCCCTGCCATCTTCAGGGCAAGCACAGGAGGTGAAAATACATCCTGTACAGATCAATTATTCTGTAGCATCGGGTCCACAGGCTCGCAGGCTGTATTTCCAGAGAGGAATTCTTCACTGCACTTGTCTGTGAAGGTAGAGAACAAATGGAATTCTTTCTTTTTCTCTTTTACTTGGAAGGAATTCATTTGAAGTCAACTCTTAAGACTTCATCCTGGGTGCATGGTATGTCCAGTCCAGTTTTCTCAATTTCTGTGACTGATTCTGTGTAAATCATCACTGATATAGGAACTGAAGACTTGATGTTAGAATTAGTGATTGAATTCTCATAGACCCAAGAGGCAATATGTTGTATTGCTTGTGCTGACTCCTTGTATGGCTTAGGATGTGGACCACAACAGTGTTGAAAACTTAAAGAAATAATAAGGATTTGAGGACTTCAGAGACATATCTTTGCTTTTATGTATGCAGTTAACTGGGAAATTAATAAGACAGTCTCATTCCCTGGGTCCTTTAGCTCATTTTCTTGGGTTGGCCGGCTATGTGATGACGGATGGTTTCCTGTGTAAGTGCTCAAGCTCTTCCATCTGGTGTTTGCAGACTTTTGAATGTGACCAGTGTGCTTGCAGAGCTCTGCGGCATGAGGCTTTGGACCTTGTAATGCAGGACTCAGTCGGTTTAAAATATGGGAAAATCAGTGGACATTTCCTCAAGATAGAGATGAGATTCTGCAGCACGGAGGAGGAACAGGTTGTGGGACAGAACGGTCTTCAGACCTCTGAAGCAAAGCGGACGCCGTGTTCCTCATCCCAGCCCTGGCTTCCCCATGAGGATTCTTCCTTCCTGTGTCCGCAGGACATTTGGTGGATGCCACAGGGGCATTTGGTCCAGGCGCTGTGGCTGTGGAGAGGACTCGCCTTTGCTGTTCAGGTGCCCACAGCCCTTTGCCCAGCTCCCCGCGCCCTCAGAAACTCCGCCCACCTCCTCCACCCTGGGAATTGTGAATCTAGTTGAATACTGAAGATTTTTATTTTAAATTTTTGAAATAATACGCTGTGAATTCTAGGCAGTCAAATACCTGCAAATCGCTTTTCCTCCGCCACAGTGGTATCGGGCTTGAAGAAAGAAGAGGCTGAGGATAGATAGGCACTTGGCTTTTCGTCCTAACTCAGCTGGCTTTTGTGTCATGCCTGGCTGCCTCAGAATGTGCCCTTGCCCAAGTAGGCTGTGCCTTCTAGATAAAGTCCTTCCTCCAACGAAGTTGTGCTATTGCATTCACTACCTTATTTCTGCCTATTTCAAATGAAACAGCTGAATTCAGGGTGGATTGCACATCTTCGTTTCCTGGGCTTCTGGGGCACTTAGCAGTCACCTTCTATCAAATCTTCAGTGGCGTTTTTGGTAACCTTTTCCTTTGGCCACACAAAGGGGCCCTGTTCTGTCTGTCAGTGGTTGAATGTGTTGCCTGTGGTCCCTTGGTCTCTCTGAAGCAGACTGGGCTGGAGTAGAACCTAACAGTGTTCCGTTTGTGAGCGGTGACTTCATATCTAAAAACATAGCTGATTTTCCTTACAAGGGCTGCTTTGCAAGTGTGATATTCCCAGTAGTTCCTTTAAAAAAAATTGTCCCCACAAGGTGCTGCTTTGTTGGAATACTGGAATTGTCACTGGGGAGGTCCCCGGTGTGCATGGGAACATCGCTCCCTTGATGGACCGCAGGGTGGTGACGGGGCCCTGCCCACATCGAAATGGTCTCTTAGCAGATTTTGTCATGTCAGCATCTTCCTCTCCCTGGTAGTAAGTGATACACAAAGCATTGTTATTATTTATTTTAGGTTTTTGAGAGGGTCTCCTTACGTAGTTCAGGCTGGCCTTGGATGCAGTTATGTAGCCCAGGCTGGTCTTGAGCTCTGGCCACCCCCTTGTTTCAGCCTCCCACGTGCTGGGATTATAGTCGTGCGCCACCACACCCAGCTCTATCTTGAGTTTTTTTGTTTGATGTTACTAAGGCGGTTGGAGAGATTCTTACTTAGTTCAACTCAAAAAGACCAGGATGATTGTAGAAGAGAGAAGGATTTGGGGAAAATGGCAAGAGCACTATGGGTTCCTGAAATCCTTGTTTTTACAGTTGTTTTGTACCTGGATTTTACCTTTATTGTCTGAACTCCGTTGTCCAGGTTGCGGGTGGGCAAAGCACAGACCTTGGGCTAATGTTGACTTGCTGCCGGATTTCGTAAGTAAAATTTTATTGGAAAACAGCCATGCCCCTTTACTGCATCACCAGCAGTGTTGAATAATGACAGCAGAGATCATACGGCCCACACAACCTAAAGTATTGCTCTCTGACCCTTTATAGAGAAAGCCTGCCAACTCCTCTATTAGAGGGGCTGGTAAAACCACCCCCACACTCTAAATTGCCCACAATTTAGAGGAGATCTGTATACTTTGGTTGCCCCGGGCCACAGGGAGATTGTGGCAGTGCATCGTGTACAGCTGTTGGGATGTGCTGCCAACAGTCCACATCCCTGGCCACCATCTCTCCCCGTGTTAGGGAGTTGCAGGGATTGGAATGTTTTCTCCTTCGAAACTAACACTCTTCTCTCCTTGACCTTTGTTTGACCAGCTTTCTGAACCCGAAGAACTTTGTAGATTGAAAGCTGTAGCTTGTGGACCTCTCAGTGGAGATCAGCATCTCAGTATCCAGGGGGAAGCCTTCTCTTCACCCAGAGCTTCTGCTAGCGATCAAGAGGCCCGGAGCCCCCGCCCTGACCGCTTCCCGTAGACACGAGGGAGGAGTCGTGCTGTTGGGCGGCAGCATAGACTGAGCAGGAGGGGCAGGTGTTCATGGCTCTGGAGTTAGCAGCGCGGTGGTTCTGATTTCATAGAATTGAACAGAAATGGCTTCGACACTGTGATGACTACATACAAATATTGGAAAGTCTCTGGAAGTTTTTTAGGCTAGGAAATTTCCCACTGACAAAGGGCCCATGGCTTATTTTCTACACACATCCTGTCACTTGAGCTCATTTGCTGATAGTCTCTCTGAGTGTAACAAGTGCAGGCTGACTGTGCTCATCAGAGGTGGATCCCAGTGAGGCGTTTGCAAACACCTGGACGTGGGCCAGCAGCTCTTATTGGTGGCACATACAAAAACCTGTGCAGAGCCGGGTGTGGTGGTGCACACCTGTAATCCCAGCCCTCAGGCTGAGGCAGGAGGATTGCTATAAGTTCCAGGCCAGCCTGGGCTACATGGTGAGTTCAAGTCCAGCCTGAACTGCATAATGAGACCGTGTCTCAAAGAACCAAAAGAAAAAACAAAACAAAACACCTATACAGATGGATGACGAGAGTAGGCAGATTTAAAATTGAAACCATTTTGTGAAGCTGGGGTTTTGTTAAACATACACTAAGAAACTATTAACAAATATCAGCAAATTAGATATTTTCACTCTAGTGTTCAGTGGCAGTGATGGGACTTTGTCGTTTTTTTTTTTTCTTTCAGTACCAGGAATCGAACTCACGACCTTGAGCTTGCCAGGCAGGTGCTGTGCCGCTGAGCTAAATCCCCAGCCCCGACTTTCTCCTTATTCTAGTCTTAAGCCAGTAGCAGCTAAAGTTTGACTTTTAAAATCCTTTCAGATTTGAGTCAAGGTGAAAAGTTCCTTTCACTTTTTGAACCTGTGTAATGTTGGGCTGTATCAAATGTTGTGGCTTTAAATCTGAAATAGCCTGGCCTGGTCTTGAGTTTTGAGCCAGAGAAGCCGCTAACAAAAACAAAGCTCCTTTCTCTCCCCCGGAACAAATACAAGCTGGCCACCTTGGTTCTGGTATAGACCACTGAAATGTATTTTAGGACGGATGGTTTAACTTCCTACTGGAATTTAGGTTATGTAGTCACCTCCTTAAGGTTTATGGTGGAGATTTCCCTGCACACTCTTAATCAAAGTTACACCCTCTGTGATACACAATCACATGCCCAAGCTGTCACAGTCACCCCTAAACTTGTTCTTGATATAAAATGAAGGTGTCAGATTCTCTTGCAGATGATCTTTCCAGATTAGTGTATTTCTGTGTAATTGCTGTACAGTGGTACCTCAGTTCACGGACTTAATTTGTTCTACGATTTTGGCAAAGAT